CACTCGGCCGGCCCCTGTTGTCTTATTTCTATACGTGTTTCTATCATGCCTCCCTCCAAAGTGCCTTACAGAGACACATATAACATGATAGAATACAGAGCACTTAGGACTCCGGCAAATGGAAATAAAGAGTAGAGCTCATTAAAGTCAAGGCAAAGGTTGATGTACAAGCTGCATGCCGTGGCGTTGTAGAGAAAGGCTGCATATTTGGAAATGAGCTTCCGATGGCAAAGGCAAAAACCAAAACACCATCCATTACAAAGCACGCTGAGTCACCAAGATAAAAACAACGTTGTTGCTTCTGAGGAGCACAGTGTATTCTGGTACTTGTTTCAGTTATGCTAGGCTGGATCCACCCTACAGTGGATTACAAGAGCTTGACTAAAACTCAGAGCTCATTTATTTCAATCCCCTTATTTTCAGATGAGCACAGTTAGACCCACAAGATGAAGGTGACTTGCTGAAGTGACGCATTTGATGTTCTAATGTCCAGAGCAGGCATCACGACCTTGGTCTTCAGGCCTGTTTCCATATGCTACTCTCACCTTACGGGTTAGGTCTGGGATGAGATTGCACACTGTAAGGCCTCCCCAGCGACAGGTGTCTATCCTGATGAACAGCCTAGCGGGCCTGCTTCAGTTAGTTGTCTTCTCCAAGCAGAGAAGATTTGTTCCTGAAAATTAAATCTGATTCTGAAGCCAACTATCTCCCCAAGGGTCTAGACACTTAGGTAATAATGGAATTTATAGTGAGTCATCTTATAAATTAAAAAGAATTTTTAAGGGAAACAAAGGACTTTTCCAAAAAATTTTAGTTTGCAAAATAATTATTTTTTTTTATTGGGGAGCAGTATGTTTTTCCAAGACCCATCAGCTCCAAGCCAAGTAGTTGTTTCAATCTAGTTGTGGAGGGCACAGCTTCTTGGCCCTTGTGGGAATCAAACCGGCAACCTTGGTGTTATGAGCCTGCGCTCTAACCACGTGAGCTAACCAGCCACCCCACTAAAATAAATTTTGATGTGCTCATTCGTAAATCAGAAAAATTACAAACAGAAGACTTAAATGGCAGCGATAGAGATCTACAGAGTTTAAATTATCTGGGATGGGAACATATTGAAGTGTCTGAGACAATTAGGAAGTAAAGCTGTCTTTGCGATAATAATTATTGATTTAACCGGGAACAGTGACACATTTGAAAATAGACAAATAAGCACACCAAGATGACAGGCACCTTAGGAAATTAAGAGCTGGTGAGTAGGTATTAAGCCAGTATAATTATTTATGAGCCACTAGACTAGTTGGAAAAGAGCCAAAGGATAAAGATTATATTGTTTTCCTAATAATGAATACATTATTTAGAACATTTAGCTGAGAGCCTAAGAAAAATAATGAAAGAAACTGAAATATGTATTACATATAAATATCCATTAAGAGAAAAAGCACAAAGCAGCAATCAGATTTATGAAGACCAGCTCAGAGAAGACAAATTACTAAGAGGCTTATTTTGGGAGGCATCCAGAATACATGGATTTAATGAATCGAATCGATCCAATATTATATTTACTATTACATGACATGAATTTTCTTTTTCAGAACTGAGGCATATTTTTGGACTGGCTATCGCCTAAATTTTTCTAAATTTACTCATGGAAAATATGATTCTACACCAGCTTAAATGTTCAAGAAGGGAAAAATACAGTAACATGTCTTGCATTTTATGTTCTGACAAGTGAACTGGGAATGACATTGGATATCTATCATAAAAGTGAATATCCTGCCTGACTGTATGCTCAAAAAAAAATTCAGTTTACATTTCTTGTGAGGGTACAGGCATGGATGTAAAACCTAGCACAAGTTTTAAGGTAAAAGCCCACGTTTGAAAAGCAGCATCCAGTGTTAGCAAGAACGCTGCACAAAAAACTCAGGAGAGCTGGCGTCACAACCGATCTCTGCCTTTAATTTGTTCTGAGAACTTGTAAAGGCCACTTTTCCAACGTTTATAATGCAGAAATTGGACTGGGATGATTCCTAAGTTGTTTTTCTGTCCAAAATTATACCTTAATTTTAGTATAATCACTGTAATTATGTTGATTTATTTAAAAATTGTAGTGTTCAAATTATAATCAGAACACATGATACATGAAATCTCATGTGAAGTAAAATTCTACCTCATATCACTAGAGCCGAAGGGGTAATATTTCATAGAGATCTGCAATAAATCTT